TCAGAAAGAGTACCTGGTTTGAAAAAAGTCATACAAGTATGATTGATATTTTGATTTTTACGTGGCTCTGGGTGTACGAAGCAAACTCGAAAATCATGGTAAGTGAATATTTGCTTTTGGTAGTGCTTAAATGTATAACACGTTTTTCCTTTTTTATGTTATTTTATTGTTTGGTTTAAAATGTATTTTAATGAGATTATGCATTTTTTGTTTGCCTATATTGCAGAATTTGGAGCTCCTTTGACTTTTTAAGTGAAAATATATCGATGTGTACATCGACAAAGGGAGTGCGCTAAGCAAGCTTGTGCAATTCTGGGATTTTTTTTAAGTGAAAATAGGTCGACACGTACATGGATAAAGTTAAAAGAGTGCGCAATGCCATTTTTGTGCAATTCGGGGATTTTTTTTAAAAGTGAAACTAGGTCGCCGTGTACATGGATAAAGTCAAAGGAGTGCGCAATGCCATTTTTGTGCAATTCAGGAGTTTTTTTTAAAGTGAAAATAAGTCGATGTGTACATGGATACTGAGTTTGTGCAATTGTTTGTCTTGTTATTTTGGCCTTGTGTAGAGGCGATTTTTGGCGCAAAAATTGCCGCTTTGCAAGCCAAAATAAGGAGTCAAAGAATTGCACAAAATCGGTATCCATGACCCACCAAAAATCGCCAAGTTTCAAGAAGGGGTACCCTAAACTATACTTTTACCATCTGCAACATTAACTCAAATGCCTGACATAATTTTAGCCTAGCTTATACCATGCGTTATACATTACACGCGCATAAAGTTTGTTGCTTTGAGGTCCAGATTATAGATCATTCCGGATTATGGACGTCTGGATTACAGACTTTGTTCTGTATTATACTACACATGCTTAGCTGTTATATAAACAGAAAATTCATAAATTGGCACAGCTTTAGTATTAGTTCCTTTTTAACGAGGTTTTGCGAGCGATAAATGAAAAATTATAACCCAGTTATTGATGGTACCCTGAATACGGAGCTAAAATGCATGCCACCATTTCTGTCCATCTAACTTTAATGAATTTGATAGGTATCAGAGCTTTGATCGTGGGATAAGCTGCAAGTTTTTTTATTAAAGTTACTTTTGTCTTAGGAAAGAACAATATAAAAACAAAAATTTTAAATATAATTTTTAACCCTATAATGCTACCCTTTGAAAAACCTACGCGAATGGCAATCATTTGTGTCCGAGACAAAGTATGCGTAAGCGTGCTTAAAACTTATTTTATAAGCTAATTAAAATAAAAGTATACTACCTGCAGGTGATTTCATGATGCTTGAACTTTAAGTAGGCAAGAAAATATGGTTGATCTTTACAATATGGTAACTGGTAGTTTGGCGACATTTTGGAGGCGATAAAGGTTACTACCTGGGACTTTGGTAATAACGTGAGCAGTACTCAGTTCCAATTACGCATTATTTTGAGTGAGGGAAATGAGAGATCATGAGATATGTCATGTGATATTAATGGACGAATTACGGTTCTTTAATCGGAAAAGGGGGGAAATTGGGGAAAAATGTGGAAATTTTGTATTTAGCTTTATTCTGTGTTGTGTGAAACAGTGTTGTGTAATTTTTGGATCCCATGGCCCTAACTAAAGTGATTCGAAATGGGTATTTAGGCATTGTGATAAAGAGAAGTTTGCTTTTTATTTAGCGGAGGAAGTATGGAGGAAAAATTCGCAGAAAAAATCTTTGAATAATTTTATTGAATGAATTAGAAAAGTGTATCCGCCACGTAATCAAGATTCTGAAGAAGATTAGGTAAGTTAGTATTTTTAATTATTTGAGGATATTATTTTTATGCATTGTTCTAAATGTAAGGTGGAAAGGAATTTGGTATTATTGGGGAAAATTGTTATTACAATGATTTAGTTTAAAGTAATTAGGATTGTAAGGTAATTTTTATTAATTTAATGTATGGCTCATTATATTTTAAGTAGTGTTTTTGAATTTAATTATATTTTAATGAAATGATAGTTATTTTGTGAATTTTATGTTTGTAGGAATTTGGTATAAGTTTAAGTTGAAATAAACATGCATGGAAATAATTTAAATATTTGATACTAAGTATTTGTAATACTTGCGGTATGAATTCGTTGGTGACGTGTATAATGTAATAGATGATTTAGAGGTAAAAGGTTTTGGATATTTTATTTATTTTATATGTGGAAATTTTCATATTTGTAAAGGGTAAATACTTTTTCACGATCAGGTAATTTCATATATGTTCTTTTTACCGGGTTAAAAGATTGAGAAAATTGTCATGTATTTTCGTGAAATTTTTCTAATTTATGAGAAAAAAGCAGTGTACATGGATATAGTGAAGAGTGTGCGCAATGCCATTTTTGTGCAATTCTGGGATGTCTTTTTAAGTAAAAATAAGTCAGCGTGTACATGGTTTATGTGTATGTGTTATTTTGAAAAACGCGTAAGGAGTGTATGGTATTGTGCACTTTTTCCCAATTTTGCAGTGAATATTTGTCATGATTAAGCAGTTTTGTTTGATAAAATTTCTAGCATAAGTGTAATTCGGCTAGTAGATTGTTGGAAGAAGTGTTCAGTAGATAAGAAGAAAAGAAACATGTCTTTGGTGGCAGGGAAAAAAAATAGAGGGTTGCTGTAGGACAGTTGGTTGCCAAATTTTCGCCAAAAAATCACCAAGTTACCATAATGTAAAGATCAACCAAAAATATAATTTATTTAATTTCAATGTTAGTAAAATCTTTTTCTGATTCACCTTGCGAAAACAGAATTTTCTTAATCACTTAGTTCTTTTAACAGATTCTGGATAGCCTCAGGTCTACCCCAAAAAGTTTCTCTGCGAAAACACTTGGACACCTTCAAGGCAATGCATCATCAAGTGCACATGTTACAGCTAACCATTTGTCTGTGAGACGAATATTGTTCTAAAAATGCCGCTTGCGGAAATATTTCGCCAAGAAGGAATGTTCTTTTCTGTAGTAGCCATGGTCATATAAAGTTACTGAGTAGCCTGTCCTATTTCCTGTTTCAGGGGAAGCAGGTCAAAGTTACTTGTAGTGGGCTTCGTCTAGGAGACGAATGGGTAGCATTCTAGGGTTAAAAACGCCAAAATTTGATAGTCAAGACTGATGCTTTTAATATTACATCAATGATTCTTGATACTTTTCTAAATATCAACTCTGCATACTATAAACTCTACCCCCCCCGGGGACCAAAAAAAAAGATTTTTAGTAAAATCATGTAAACTCTTGGTGTTTTCTTTACTAAGGAACCACATGCAGATTTAGACTTGTTACATGTTTCTTAAAATGGGGCATAATCAAAACTACCATGGTCTAAAAATACTTTTTTTTTTTTTAAATTTGAACTACAGGGATATGCAATTGTATGAATTCATAGAGCAAAATCAGGTTTTCATTATGGCTTTTATAACATTTTTATAATTTGTCTGACTATACAAAAATATGTTCCCTAGATTATGGAATATACTGCTCATAATTTACAGTTCTCGAATTTTATAAATCTCACAATCTAATAGCTGTATATGAATAACCTTCACTGAGTATTATTACTTTTATTAATAGTATGTTGACATAATTGTCGAACTTTTATTTTTAATTTTATGCAAATTTTGTACATTACTTAAACATTTAATCTAACAGAAATCTGAATTTTTTGTAATAAAAGTGTACAATTTATATATATGAAAGTTTGACTACATGACAAGTACTTAAACACCGATTTCAATGTCTTTAAATGTAACTGTTATAAAGTTTAGATATATTCTTTGCAATCATATAGTGTAACTAAACTTTAGGTAGACATTAAGCAAATTATCGCTACGTCTAAAGTAACAAATGAATCATGAGAATAGTGTAAAAGATCCTTTTTTAAAACTACTAAATAAGAAGAGAAGGTACACTTTGTACTTACTACTCAGTCAGCCACCTGCAGCAAAATAACTTACAATAACAATTAAGTTAGTGTAGACTGAAGAGTACTCCTTGTATTATTGTGAATTTGTTTTATTTATCACCAACTTATTGTTTCGTTTATGGCCAAGTTGTTGTTTAATTTATCATAACTTGAGTAGCTGAATGTGCCGTAAATATACTTTTACCTAGAATTGGGTGCTCCTTTGACTTTTTAAGTGAAACTATATTGATGTGTACATCGACAAAGTCAAGGGAGTACGCAATGGCAAGGTTGTAAAATTCTCTGAATTTTTTAAAGTGAAAATAGGTCGATGTGTATATGGATAAAGTCAAAGGAGTGCACAATGCCTAGTTTGTGCAATTCTGTGATTTCTTTTGAAGTGAGAATAGGTCAATGTGTGCATAGATACAGAGTTTGTGAATTCTTTGACTTGTTATTTTGTCTTTGTGTAGCGGAGATTTTAATTCGCTGCTACACAAAGCCAAAATAACAAGTCAAAGACTTGCACATACTCGGTATAAAAGTACTGCCAAAAATAGCCAATTTTCGCCAAACGGTACACGTAAGTAATCTTTTACCTTAATTTAAATTAAAATAAACTAGTAGCCAACAAATCAGTTTAATACGAAGTTGGTTCAAAACGTAAGAAGCGTGCAATCCAATTATCGGCAATTATAATTCAAGACTAAGACTACAAATCTTATCGTATCTAGCAACCTAGTAATACGGCCACGAAAGGCTACAGAACAAATCCTGCGAAGACTCTTGACCTCAGGTCTAATAAAAATCTATCGGAAAGCAAATTATGAAATTTAACTTCGCTGCATAACTAAGCAACAATTTCCATGCAATTTTCAATATTTTGTTACATTCAGTGTTACTATAAACACTTCACAGCATGACGTCCGCAATTTATGTATAATTTTTAAATGCCATAACGATTACCCTGAGACAAAAGTACTAAATTTAAACATTTTTAAAATTTAATTTAACAGTTAATTTTCTAATTATGAAACATCATTTTGTTTCTTAATTTTTGGAGAGAGAAAATCAATGCACACCTTCGGGAAATCTTGGAGAGCAGTTACGCTTTTACTTTTGTTTTTTGTAAATCAGAAGACTTCAAAAACATCATTTGTGTCAGGAATCAAAGTTTGACGGAATTATACACAATTCTGACATAATTATGGTCATCGAAAGAGAAATGATTGCTGAAGGAAAAAAAAAAAAAAAAAAAAAAACTATAGTAAATACTTTGCGTAACACGTTTCTACACAATGCCTTCAAAAAGTAAACGAACATCTCTACCGCTACTGTTGCCAAATAACAAAATGCACGTTTCTGCAATCTAATTTTTTGACAAAATTTTAAATTTTCAGAAAAATTTACCAACTCACATATGAAATTTTTGTAAAAGAATGAACTTTCTTCTATTTAAATTTTTCTTTCGATGTTAGCCAGTCCAGAAATTTTGCAAAAGGTTAATATGGCATATTTCAATTTTTTGTATAAGTTGAAAATGAAAGACGTAATTTTGAATCATTATTATTATGCGTTAAATATTTCCATAATTATTTCATCAATTAATTTACTGTTGTGTATAAATTATAATATTTGATTATGCAAACGATATGTTAGGCACATCACTAGCTCTGCAGTTCTGGTTTCCCTTTACCCGCGTTACGTTGAAAATAGAATGATGTCTATTTGAATCTTGGCGTGTTCTAAAAGTGACAGCTCTTCGGTAAGTGGAAGATTTCTATTATATTTTATAGCTAAATATTATTCGTAAGATAGAAGAGTCTGTGAATTTTTTACTCCTTCGAGTTTTCATATGTGTTTCTGTTTTGCTTGTTTGTGATATGATTGGTATGCATTAAAAGAATGCAAGGGAAGTAAGTTTCGTTTCCGAAAACTTGAAAGTTGTCTGTTATTTTTTAGTATAAAGTGAATTAGATTTTCATTTTAGTACATCGTTAAACTGTTGTTTTAAAACGTATGTCTAGTATAAATGTTGTGATTTTTAAAGGATGCTGTACTCAAGAATTAGTTTTAAGAACACTGTAACTGTTTGTAGTAACATTCAATGTGATAAAATATTTGGAATTTCCGGAGGCCATTATGTGTCATGTACGTTTACATTATATGTACTTTCGGTTTATCTTAAGAAAATGGTACTGGGAATTTTTTTTTTTTTAGATTAGTGATAAATTGTAATTGGAGCATGGAAGTTTTGATCTCTGATATGGTCAGAGATCAAACGTATTTCGGTAGTAGTGCATAATACATTGCCATTAAATGGATTTTCTTTGAAGTTCATTAGCATTGTTTAATGCTTTTCTCTTGGAATAGATAATAATTTGTAAAATATGAATGTGTTATGGAATGTAAGAATATGTAGATGTTGGATAACTCCTACATTCTAATTTTGAAAGCTGCTTTCGGTTTATGCATAGTTTAGTACTGTTGATTTCCACGATGGTTATGAATAATAGAATTCAGGTCTTTATTCGCGTATTATTTTTTTAATTGATAAAATGGGAGAAAATAAGATATTGGTTATTCATTTGTGAAATAAATATCCAATCTGCTGATAAAAGGAAGTTGTAAGAAAAACATAAGGTATTTGCAGATGACCCTTGTCATGCTTTGTTATTAATTACAGTGTTAAATGAAGTTATTAAATATTGTTAACTAACACTTAACCCGGGAGAAGTCGCGCGGGGCACAGAGTCCCATGCGTCGAAAGTGAACAATCCTGACTGGAAATATTTCACGTTAATGAATCATCCTTCTAGTATCCTCCTGTCTGACACTCCCCTTGGAATGTGTATTGTAATTTTTGCTTATTTTTCTTTTCTGAGAGAGAAGCAATCGTTTCTTGGAATCCATGAGGGAATGGGGTGACTCAGTCACCCCGTGCGACCGTTACTGCTTCGAAAATTTCTTATTAGTAGCAGTTTAGCTTCGTGCTTTCGAGTGTTTTCGTTGTTGGTCTGTTGGATTATTTGATAAATAATGGCTTACAAACGTAAATTTACCGAATATGAAAAAGAGATGGAACGTTTGAGAACTCTATTAGATGAAGTTTAGTCTTCTGAAGAAAAAATTGATCAAGATAGTGAAAATGAATCTGATGAAGAAATATACAGTTCTCACGACAGCGAAAGTGAATTTGAGCAGAATGATGAAGACGATGGAAATCCTGATTTAGTAAAAAGTATTTTTATTAGCAAAAATAACACAGTTTGGCAGAAAGGAAAACCAAATCAAAAAGTAAAAATGTCTTCTAAAAATATAATAACTCATTCACCAGGATTAAAAGGAACTACACACAATATAACGGAGCCTCTAAAAAGTTGAGAATTGTTTTTCAATGCTAAAATGATATGATTCATTGTAGAGTGTACAAAATATTTATATTGAAAAAATATCAGTAAATTACACCAGAGATCGAGATACCAAAAGGACAAATAATGTAAAAATTAGAGCACTTTTTGGGCTTTTATATCTGTGCGGCTTGCATAAATTGCCACGGTACAACTCTGATATACGCCCTATTTTCACCAAATGGGGCGATATGTGTTCTGCGATGGTTTTTAGCGTGATTGCATGTTGTATGGCAACCCTGCTGACGTTGAAAAATCTTTCGCTGGAGTTCGTTGGTTCGCGTCATGCTCTGTGTCTGAGAAGCTAGGAGGGATAGATAAAATGGTAAAAATTGTTGAATTGAAATTCGGCAAAAGGAAATATCATCGTGGCCATCCTGTTGAGGGGCAGTGGGTATTTGGAGGTGTGGAAAAAGGGTCTGGGAGATTATTTTTAGTGGCTGTGCATGATAGAAGTAAGGATTTGTGATTATTTGTTATTTTATTTATTTGTGAACCATAGTATGAATTTTCTGGATAGTGTGTCTGGCTGTCGTATAAATACGATAGTGATTACGTGGCGGCATGTTAAAGGTGGTATGAAATTGGTATTTCTGCTGTTCGAAAAAGCATTAATTCATGGTAAGTGCATTTTATTTTATTCTTGTTCTTACTTTGTAGAATGTTATGTTTATTGTTTTTTTAGTATGAATTTCTGTCGTTATTGTTGTTTTTTTGAATTGTTTGAAATTTACTTTAGTTATTTTGTTGATTAGTGCGTACCGTCTGAATTGTACAATTCGTAGATATTTTTTAAAGTTGAAACAGAATGCTGTATACATGGCATTCTTTGAAATTTATCGTTGTTATGTTAATTTATTAAAGTGAGGTGTGCATAGTTCGCAGATTCGTTTGTTGTCTAAATTGTGCAATTCGTAGATGTTTTTTTAAGTTGAAACAGGATGCTGTGTACATGTTATTCTTTGAAATTTATTGTTATGTTAATTTTTTAAAGCAAGGTGTGCGTAGTTCGTAGATTCGTTCGTTACGTAGATTGTGCCATTCATAGATTTTTTTTTTTTAAGTTTAAACAGGATGCTGTGTACATGTTATTCTTTGAAATTTATTGTTATGTTAATTTATTAAAGCAAGGTGTGCGTAGTTCGTAGATTCGTTCGTTACGTAGATTGTGCCATTCATAGATTTTTTTTTTTGAAGTTAAAACATATCGCTGTGTACATGGAATCTTGTCAAATAATTTTGGTTAAAAACTTTACGGTTTTGCTATATAAATTTTTTGTTTTTGTTTCGGATTTTTAGCTTAAATTGTGTGTTCAAAACGTGGTTTTTGCATTCGTGAAAACCGTGTTTTTGGAGACATTTTAGGCTTAAAGTTCGAAATGTAGACAAAAAACTTAGATAGCAATATGGCAGCGTGGAGTTTCTCGCCAAAAATGTTTGGCGAGAAATTTGGCGACTTGAAGGCGCATATCAGAGTAGTTCCATCGTCACATACAAATACACAAGATTTGTGGGCTACTGATGGATCGAGCATTGAAATTTTACGGAACGCAATGTCATATAAAAGATTTAATTTTTGGTTAATCTTTGGATTATGGTAAATTGGTGATTTTTTGCCGAAAATTTGGCGACCAACCCTGCTACAGCAACCTGCTAGTTTTGTTTTCACGAAGTAAAGGCATGTTTTTTTTTTACTCAACATTTTTTCCAACAATCTGCTAGTCGAATTACGCTTATGCTAGAACTTTTATGAAACAAAAGTGCTTAATCATGACGAAGATTAGGTGCAAAATTGGGAAAAAGTGCAGATTCGCCCACTGCTTGCTGCGTTTTTAAGAATTGCACATACACGGTATCATCCATGTACACGTCGACCTATTTTCACTTAAAAAAAATCCCAGAATTGCACACAAATGGCATTGCGCACACTCTTGACTTTATCCATGTACACTTCTAAAGTCCTAGCTAGTAACCTTTAATGCCTTACCAAAATGTCGCCAAACTACCTGTTACCATATTCCAAAGATTAGCCTAATTTTCTTCTCGTGTGTTTACTGTTAGACAATGTGACCAATCAGGAAGCTCACAAAAGATTGGAAAAACTAGTGGCTGTGAGAGAATTTTTTGAAGATTTCAACGAAAATTGCCAAAAGATATAGATTATTGGTGAATATGATATTATCGACGAAAAATTGGAGAAATTTCGAGGGCGGTGTTCCTTTCTTCAATATATACCCAGCAAACCAGCGAAATACTGAATAAAAATATTTGCCTTAGTAGATTCAAGAATATTTTACAGCTATAACATGGAGATATGCGCAGGACAACAGCCAGAAGGTCCCTTTAGAGTTGAAAATTCACCATTTGAAATTACAAACCTTTGTTTGTGCACCCCTTTGTTTGGATCAGGCAGAAACATAACAATGAATAATTGGTATAAGAATTATCCTCAAGCAAAAGAACTTTTGTCAAAGAAGCTAACTATTGTAGGAACCCTGAAGAGAAACAAGACTGAAATTCCCACCGAGTTTGTCCAAACAAAAACTAGGAAAGTTTATTCTTCTATATTTAGTTCCAAAAGAATGCGACACTAGTATCGTGTGTGCCTAAAAAATTAAAATGTGTAGTTTTGCTATCTACAGTACATCGTGATGATGCTATTGATGAAAGTGATGATACCAAGAAACCAGAAATAATTCACTTTTATAATGCAACAAAAGGTGGTGTAGACAAAGTTGATGAAATGTCATCATTATATTCGACAGCTCGAAAAACCATCACATGGCCGATGGTTGTTTTTTTATTGTGTGTTGAATGTCGCTGCAATAAATGACCGAGTTGCGTTT